TCAACCAAGTACTTATACAAACACTTAAGAAAATCCAGAGTTTGTTTTCATGGCAGGGGGAAAAGATCCCACCAGGACGCCACCTGTAGGTATCCCTGTGGCCCACGACAAGGAGAGCATGCCGGGATCACTCATGGTTTTCCAAGACCTTGCCCTGTTCATGATTAACACCTAAAGCTGTGGCTTTCACTTGGCCCAACATCACAGAATAGACTTTCCAAGGCCCAGGTACTCCCAGAACTCAGGTCAGTACTCTACTGCAACCCAGGACTTGCCCCGGCTTCTTTCCAACACCTAATATTTAAGAGCGACTGTTTAATGGCCATGTCGATCACCCATTCTTCTAGTTTCTCCAACTATGCACTAAGTGAAAACATCAGAAAGCAAAATCCCTGGACCAAATGGCCCCAGGACCCCACAAAAATGTCTTCACTAAATTAGGATTTAATGTTATACCCTCTGACGCTGGAGGGGCTTGATCCAAGAATCTGGTCTAACGACATTTCTGAGTCTTTTGCAAAACCTCAGCTGAAGCGATTATCCACCAAGTTATACAAGGAACCAGCCATATGATGAATTTCTCCTTGAGCTAAGTTCCAGGAAAAAGCTAGCGTCTGCCAGCAAGTATGTATGCTTTCTTTGATCAGAAAGTTAACGTTATATAATCCAGTGTCTTTCCCTTTTTGGCTTGCAGTGGCCAGGAAACCTCAGGCCAGACTGGGTACCCAATCAGCTCATCTCAGGTGCCTGGGAACTCCCGGGGCCAGTTCCCTTTTCATGGCCTTTGTCAGCTTACGTTTCTTCCCTGACAGCTAATGACCAGGTCTTTCAGTAAAGCTATCCCACTTCAACTCATTTCAGCCCATCACTGGCCTCAAATCCTTTTGGAAGTGAGGAGGGAAATTCTAAGGAAGTAAAAAGAGAAACACTATATGCTATTTCCATGGTTGTGGGGTTACGGATACAAGGACTTGTGAGATTTCCAAGGAAGTTAACTCCTGTCCTTACCTCGGTAACAACTACTGCCCCATGACCACAACGCTAACACACTTCAGAGTGTTCAGATATGATAGGAAGAACAAGGAAAAATCTGACAGCTCTGCCACCCACAGGGACATTTTCATGCACTGCTGATGGAGAAAAAATAGAAACCGGAAGTTTTGAATCATAATTCTGGTTAAAACCTGAGATCCCATAGCTTATTTTTTTAATGGTAAAATACTCAGTAACAAGTTAAAAACAGAACCTAGAAACCTCAGTGGAGACTTTCTTTAGAAAAACAGCTAAAGCTTGCTTTGGGAGTAATGAGAGCCTCCCTTGTGGGACAGCAACACAGCCCCGACGGAGAGGCTGCAGTGGGTCCTTGTCAGGGGCCACCAGCCCAAAGGAAGCAGCCATGGGGCACAGGAGGAAGGCCCCACATGCAGGGAGGCACCCTCCCTTCCAGGCCTCAGTTTCCTTATCTGCAGCATGACAGGGTTAGACTAGATGTCTAGGACCCTTTCCAGCTTCCAAATCCAATGCTATGATCTCATCCCCTAGCTAACAACATGCCTGATTTTATTTTCTCTGCTAGTGCCGCAAACCCCAATACAATCCGTCACGTGGACTTGGGAAAGGGTACTTGCTTCTAAAAGAACAACCGCATGAAAGATTTCTTTGCCAAGAAGCTTCTCATCCATCGGAATCTAATCCTATTGAGAAAAACAAGTACACACACATACACACACATATACACACACACATATGTACATGCATATGCACACGCGTACATATGTACACACACTTTTTTGGGGGGAGGAGGCAGACTGTTAGCTAAATCCTTGTTTCGCCAGACATACGTGGCCTGAGTGCGAACAGGCAGAGCTCCCAGATCGCTCTCTTTCTTCGAGGGCAGCCCACGAGGGGACCCACTGGCCGCCCACAGATGTCACCCCGAGCGAGGCCGCCAGCACAAATGCCTGCTTTGTGCCTTTTCCTTGGAGTCCCTGCTCTCCTCCTGTACCACCAGCTCAGCAAGATCAGCATTACTTTTGTCAACAGGCATCATGATGTGTGAAAAAAACAGCTGCCAGTTCTAAACACTCGATGCCTAGACGTCGGATGCTTGTAACAGGGTGATTTTTCTCTCTGACATCTGGTTCCCTTACAATTCTGCCAGGCTTGTTTCTGCCCCTACACACACACACACACACACACAGATCCCCACCTCCCACTTTAAGGAAATGTATGTATGATCTCCCCCCACTCCATTATTCCCCCCCGGGGGGGGGGGTGCTGCCTGATGGCTCCAGCAGCTCTGATGTCTTCTGTGGAGCATTTGAGGAGGAGGAATGAGGAGTTCGCTCAAGGTTAAGGCCAGGAGATAATAACATGACCTGGCCTCTTCTGCTCCTGGCCCCCCCAGCAAAGAAAGTGACACCCACAGAAAGTAGTCCACCCCATCCCCCATCATTCTGAGCAGACATCATGCCTGAGAAGAAGAAAGAAGGGAGAGTCTGTCTAGAAAAGACTGAGAACTGAGTGAAGGTCCAGGCAGAAAGGCAGGACAAACTTGGCCTTCACCTCTCAGGAAGGCTGCAAGAGCAAATCTAGGAGAAGAATGTGAGTCCAATCAAAAGGGATTAACACTATCTCAAGTCCAGTGACATTCCTTATCTGGAAGTCAAACACAGAAACCTCAGCTCTGTGGAACGCAGGCCCCAAGTTGGAGGGAAGGAGAAAGAGCCTTGAGCAGTCCAGAAAAGTGAAGAAAGCCCTGGGGCCCTCCAACAGATGTGACAGAGGCCCTCCCAAAGAACTTGCCACAGACCGACTGGAACAAGCTGGGCGGCCCTTCCTAACTCCCTGATAGAAGAGAAGCTGGACAGGAAAGGGCAGGGGGGGGGGAGACACAGCAGGGACACACACGGAGTGCAAGGGCAAAAGAGATGGCTGATGATGATGATGATGACGATGTGGCAAAAGAAAGTGTAAACACAGGCATTGAATCCAAGGTGCCCAGGAGGTGGGAGGCAAGGGCAGCACCACCAGAGGCCTGACCCAAGGAGGCCCTGGCGCCGCGCTCAGCTCTGATAACCAGCAATCATCACAAATGGGTCAGTGGGTCAGTGGTGGTCAGTGACCAGTGTGGACTCTGTTTAAGAAGGCAGGGAATTACATGGAAAGCCTCAATTACATGGAAAGTTCTTCCCCGGAACAGATGCCGGACCAGGGTGGCAGGTAGACAGGGTAAGGGGGATGCTCTCGTGGCCCACGTGACCACCAAACAACTGTGCTGAAGCCGAATGGGCGCACAAAGGAATAGCTGAGGCTCACACACCAAAAGGACTAGCCCTAAACTTGCAACCAGTGGAAAGAACCTTGGATTTGAAATCCAGATCCAGGTTCTACCCCAGGTTCTGTTACTAGGTTATCTAGTTTCTAGCAGATTAGAAGCTACAAACTGAAAGAGGCCATGGGGTGAAGGGAAAAGCCTGGGACATCTTTGGGGCCAGCCACTTCATGTGTCTGGCTCTCAGGCGCCTCGTCGGTAAGATAAAGGGGATGGGCTAGATGACTTGGAAGTACCCTTCTGCTTCTAAATTGAGAGAATTTTAAATCAGAACTCACCAGCTATGAATGCCAAGCTTGGGTAAACAGAGCAAGACAGGGCAAAGAGCAGCCATTCTAGACAGAGAACTAAAATCCCTGGTGCCTTTGTGCCTCACAATTCAAGCAATGTTATCAAAAGCCATCCTGAAGAACTCCCACCACATGGGTCAAAGCACATTGTAATAAACAGTATTACAATTAAGTTTCTTATTCAACCAGCCACCTTCTTGAGTTTCATACAACAACCAGAGAACCTCTTTTTGCTGCCCAAGTACCCCACATAGGACAAGAGTAAGATAAAGGACATCATTTAACGTCAGAAACATTTAGTGCCTCCTCTGTGCAAGGCGCTGGGAAGCCCAAAAAAGAACAGCCACTTCATAAACCCTGTGAGCTCCCGTTCTACTGGGGATCAGCAGAGCAGCCCCAGAACCATCGGAAGAGGGAGAGGAGGATGCTGACTGCCTTCACCACTGCCGGGATCAGGAAAGGCTCTGTGGAAATGGTGGCACCTGAGCTGCTTCCCGCCACCTCCAGGCATGCCCGGCACAGCCTCTTCAGAGGATTTCTAGAATAGGAATCACACCAAGCTGAAAACGCCAGAATCAGGGTTTGAATCTGAGCTCTCCCACTGGCAAAAGGTGAAAAGCCACCAGATCCCAAGCTCAGTATTTAAGTAAGCCCCATCAGCCTGTCTGTCAGATATCTGTGTTAACCAGAACGCAGACCACATCATTCTACCCACTCTAGGGCAGAAAGCTATACAGAGTAGCCTTCCTCTGTTGAGTTCAAGCATTAGCAAAGTTGAGTGCGATGAGCTAAAAGTTAATGTGAAAAATCTTTCTGCATTCTGGGCAAGTGATCAAAGCAGAGTTCAATGGAGAAGACCAGAGAGCGACACAGAATCACCAAAGTGGGAAGTGATGGAAAGGAGCTGAAATTAATTAAAAATCCTATTCAGAGTTTACATCTCCTATCTAGAGATTTCGATGAAGGGTTCGAAACAAAGGAAAAGAAAAAATACAGTATTACTCACATTTTCACACGCACAGATTTTGAGAAGAAAAAAATCAAGAAAACCGTTTTCCCTATTTCATTCCCCAAGTGTAATTTGGGTTCCTGTTGTGAAACAGCACAAGATCAAGGCTAGAAGAGGCTCCTCTATGTGGAATATACTTTGTCCTTGCCAGATGGTCAAAGGGTTAAGTTTAAGAAGCAGCTGGCTGCCTGTCACTGGCTGGGGGGGGGGGGAAGAAGGAGAGCTAGTCAGCAGTCACTCCTCTTACGGTCCCCTCCCTCCCTCCCCCTCCCCCTCCCCCCAGCTCCAGATCCTCCCTCCTACCTTCCCTGGGCTGGGGGTTACAGTTCTTTTGCTCCCCTCCCCCTCCAAAAAAAAAATGCACCTCTAGTCTTGGGGAAAGCTTGGATATATGCACTGGCTGGTGTGAGAGCAGCTGTCTGCCTGGTCCCTCTTCTCTGGAAGACAGATGTGGAAAAACTGAAACTTCCAAACAAGAAACTCAAAAAAAGGTAAATACACTATTTTCAACACTTGCAAATCATCTCTCAAACTATCTTTTCTCCCAAATACTTGAAGCTTCATCTCGCTGCTTAAGTCAAGCGAGAAGCATGCGGATGGGGGTCCCAGTGATTTCGCTCTGGAATCCTGGTCACTCTGCTTGCTCTTTAGTCAATGGGGAGGCAAGTCTTGCTTTTCAGGGGCTCCCGAGGGTGGCCGGGGACTCCCAGCCTGCCCTCCATGACCAAGGATAATGAGGGAGAGAAACGGTGCCTGGCAAACTGACTTCGGTTTTTTCATTTCTGTTCACCTTGTATGTGGCTGAGTGCCTGCAAGCGATTGAATAGAAAGTAAATAACCCCCCAGTTCAATAAGGCTGTCAACGTGTTTGTTGAGACAATGTGTTCTGCTCTGTAGACTTTCTCTGGAGCTGGGCACTCCCTTTGGCTGGTACAGAGCTCAGCTCATCTGGCCCTGGCTTATTCATGTCTCTGGCTCAGGAGTTCCCGCACTTAGTAATGCTTCTTCTAAGGCTACTCTTACCAACTGCACCAAGGGCGATGTTTCTCTAGAGAAAAGGAGGAAGGCTTGCTTAGTCTGGTTGCCAAGATTCCAAGAATCCAGTTGTTAACAGCGAGGCTCTCTGACAGTGAGGGCAAGCCACCAGGGAACAAGCCGGGCTTTGCCCTCCACCAGCACCAGTGGGGCAACTGGCTAGATACGCAGGCGGCCTTTTATAGAGGGAAAACTCACTCTCTGGAGCCTGGGCGCCAAACTGGGGTTGGCATGTCTGGAGCTCAGACGTTATCTCTCTCTCCAAAGGGCATGGCTAAGCCTCGGAGAACTGGGGGAGGACTGCCATTCTGAAATTTTCTTGGAGATTTACCTTCTAAAAGAAAAATGAAAGATGGAGGGGGGAGACAGAGACAGAGAAGAAAAGAGGAGAAAGAGACAAAGACAGAGAAAGACAGAGAGAAACAGAGAAAGACTGAGAGAGACAGAGACACAGAGAGACAGAGAGAGCAAGACCAAGACGGGGAGAGAGACAGGAGACCAGAGGGAACTATTTCCCCGGTTGAGCAAAAGCAAACCCGGAGCTAAGAGCTGATTTCTGAGAACTTCTTGGCTGTCTCTCTCTGAGTCTCTGTGTCTCTGTGTCGTGGGGTTTTTCCAAGTGAGGCCGTAGTTAAGCAGGCTTTGCCCGTGGGGAAACGCAATGTAATGCTTCTGGAATCATTCAAACATGGAAACTCGCTAAGAAGGCTAGGCGGTCGGTCCACTCGGAGCGCTGGCTTTTCACCCCACCCCCACCCCCGCCCCCACCCCCACCCCCACCGGCTCGGCTGCCCCTAATTAGTCACAGCTTCCAGGGAAGGAAATTAACAGGAATTGTGTCTGGGACTCCTCCCGGGAGAATTAATTCCACGGGATCGGCCTGGGAATTTACAAGAGCGTCCCAAAGAGACGCCCGCCCCCCGGCCGGGAAGCAGTGAGCGCGCCGGCCCCCCAAGAAGAGGAGGAGGAGAAGCGGGGGGCCGGCCGGGAGCAAAGTGGGGAGCAAGAGGCACAGGAGCACAAGGAGCCGGAGGAGGAAGCCGGAGGCCTCACCCCCCCCCCCGCTCCGCGCACCCCGCCAGGCCGGGCAACCAGAGCAGCCCCCGCCCCGCCCCCCGCCCGGCGCCCCCGGGGGCGGCCACTGCAGCTGCTGCGCTCGGAGGGAGGCGACGCCGACAACGCCAGCGGCCGGACGGCCGGACTCCGCCGGGAGTTACCTTGAGTGCGGCGGCGGCGGCTTCAGCTCGCCCTCCCGACCCGGAGCCGTGGCGGCGACAAGCCCGGGCCCCGGCCCCGGCAGCGGCGGCACTCCATCCACCCCGGGCCTCCCCGGAGGAGGAGGAGGGAGGGGGAGGGGGAGGGGGAGGGGAGGGGGCGGGGGGAGAAGGGGGAGGGGAGGGGGAGGGGGCACGCGGCTCCCTCGGGCTCCGGGGCTGCCGGCCGCCCGCCCGCCGCCTCATGTGACAGGCGCAGCCGCGGCCTGCCAGGAAGGCGAGCTCGCCGCCGCACCGCGGGCTCCCGCCCCCCCGCGCGCCCCCGCGAGCCCCCTGCGCGCGCCCCCGCGAGGCTCAACCGGCGCAGGTCCCGTGCGCGCACGCGCGCACCTCCCCCCCGCGGCCATTTTGCAGACGGACTGGGCGGGGCCTAAGCTTTCCCTACTTGGGTGGCCACTAGGGGGGAGCTCCTGAGGCAAGGCACCCAGGTAGGGGCAGAAGACCGGCGCCCCTGCCCCTGGTGGGGCCAGCACACTGGGCCATAGGTGGCATGCCCACTTCAGCAACACGGAATTTGATAGGGAAATCGGCAGCCAGCTAAGCAAGCTGTTCCCCAGGTGTTTCACTCCCCTGCTCAAGCAGCTTTAGTGGCTCCCTAGTGCCTCTTGGTAAAACATTGCCTCAGCCCAGCTGTGAGTGTCCACATCACTCCCCTTCATAGACTCTACATTACAGCCAAAGTAGCCTAGTATTTCCTGGAACTTAGCCTGCTGTCTCTCCACTCTGTTGAACAGTCCATTCTCCATGCGCTGCCAATGATGCCAAGGATGTCCTCCCTCCTCACCTCTGGTGCCCCCCCCCACAAGGCCTCTCCAGATCCCTCTCAGTTTTTAGTTCTCCCCCCAAGTTTCTTTCTATGTGTCTCGTGTGGCAAATGCAATCAGGACACCCCCAGGTTTCCCTTCTGAGCGCTCCCCAGTGATTAGGAGCTGTTCTCAAAGATGATTGTCATCTGAGAGTCAAGAGGACAGACTGGTCAGAAGCCTCACCTTAACCCCCATGGGAGCTGTGTGCTGCTGTACAAAATGATTCCCCAAACCTACCTGTTCCCTTCTCATACTGGCATCAAAGATGCCCTCTATGTGGGTGTACAACATTCTTAGATCTCTGAGCTATGAGAAAAGGCACAGGGTACAAAGGTCAATGATGTCATCTGCAGTGCCCTTTTGGGTAATAATACTGTGATTTTTTTTCGGTCCAATCCTTTTGTATCTTCCTCCCTTTCAGATATCTCGAAAACATCTCCCACGCTGACAAAATAGCATCTCTGCTAACATAGGTTTCTTGTGTGTGTGTTGATGTTGAGTGATTTCAGGCATATCTGACTCTCCATGACCCCATTTGGGGTTTTCTTGGCAAAGACACTGGAGTGGTTTGCCATGTCCTTCTCCAGCTCATTTGACAAATGAGGAAACTGAGGCAAACAGGGTGAAGTGACTTGTCCAGGGTCACAAGGCTAGTAAGGGTCTGAGGTCAGATTGGAACTGGAGTCTTCCTGACTCTCTTTGCTGCAGCACCCCCTAGCTGCCCTCTTTTGTGGGTAACACCCAGCAATACAGGCCATCCTGACTTCTTCTTCCCTACTGCCATATTCACTGCTTCCGTCTGTTCGTGATTTGGGTTTTGTGGTCCAAACTGAAAGGTTTCACTGACGTCAAAATCAGAGAAATGCAGCCGGATCTATTCCTTTTGTGTGTGTTGTCTTCCTCATATTTCATCTAGGAATTGCTTTTTGGATGATTGAGCCTAGTTGGATTTCATGCCAAGATTTCTGTAGTTCTATAGATTGTCTCTTGTCAGTCTTTAAAGATTTGAAGAAAGAATTGGTATGCATTTTTTCTAGTCTGATCAAGACAAGAATGCTAGTACTAAGGCATTTGTTGGGAGAACCGTAAATTAGTATAACCATTCCGCAAAGCCATTTGCAATTAGGCAAAGAAAGTGGTTAAAAGGTCCAAACCTTTGGAGCCAGAGATTCTTCTGCTACGCACATCCCCCAACGAGGTCATTGATTTAAAAACTAAAAAAAGGAAGGAACAAAGCACATCCCCATCAATTGGGGAATACCTAAAGAAATGATGGTACGTAAATATTGGACATGGAATTTTACTGTGCTATGAGAAACTACAAATGGGATGAGTACATAGAAGCCTGGGAAGATTTCTGTGAACTGATAAAACAATGTCACTGAAAACACCGATAGCAAGCAATGGAAAGTGAATGGTACAAAATTACAGAGAACAGATGTGGCCCCGAAGTAGAGACTAGAGCAGCCCCCTCAGCCCCCTCCTTTGCAGGGCACGTCTATGGTCATGGAGCATTGTGCCTAATGTCCAACTTTTAAATGTGGTGATTGTGTTGAATTTGTTTCACTTCTTCCTTTTTTTTTTTAAAGTCTTTGTTTTAAGGAATGGCTCTCTGGGAGGGAAGAGGGGGAGGGAAAGAGATGCAAAAGATATCAATAAAAATGTATCTTTAAAAAGACAGAAATGCCTAGCAGAAGGACAGTTGTTAGAAATTCAGAGGGGCGTGGCCTTGGCGGTCAGGGCCGGAGTCAAGAGTCAGGAATGAGGCTGCCTGTTGCATTAAGAGAGACTCGGATTCCTGGAATAAGGAGAGGATGGGCCCTCTGTCCTCTGCCCTGGTTAGACCACACCTGAGGTATTGTACTCAGTTCTGAACCCCACCACGTAAGACGGATGTTGAGGCAATGAGGTGGCTGGGCCTGGAGGCAGGAAGACCTGAATTCAAAACCAGCCTCAGATGCTTGCTTGCTAGCTGTGTGACTCTGGGCAAGTCACTTAACCTCTGTCTCAGTTTCATTAACTGCAAAACGGGGATAATAATAGTATTTACCGCCCAGAGTTGTTGTGAGGATCAAATGAGATAATATTTGTAAAGCACTTAGCACACTGCCTGGCACATAGTAGGTGCTATATAAATGTTATTATTGTTGTTGTTGTTATTTATTATTATTATTACCTGGAGAGGGTCCAGAGGAAAATAACTAGGGTGGTGAAAGACCTAGAGAAGGGAACTTCCAACTCTACCGGCTAAGTAAGAATATACTGGAACTCACGACAGTAAGTAAAATCACTGTACATCCGGCTGGGCTAAAGCGTTTCTCAAAACTACTACGTGAGTGGCAGGAAAGAAACCAGGATCAGCCTCAGAAATGCACT